AAACAATAAAAGTCTTAATTTACCAAATATATTTGAATAATTTAACTTTTAAAAATAAATTAAAATATATATTATTATCCCACTTTAATGAATGGGGGGCAATAAATGAATTATCAAAGAAAAAAGGTAGTAAATGGCCGCTCCCCGACTTAAATGGGTAACGGGGAGGGAGACGAGGGAGGCCGCCCCGCCCTGCCCCGTCTCATTGCCATCCCTATGATTCTACGACTTCAAAGTAGAAATTGCGTAAACTTGATCACATTTACTAATTCACAAACTCTTGTAGCTCTACTTTAGCTATCGATGTTCTACTAGAATTGACTATGAATAGGTTAATTTATTTTCAACTCGAATAATATATGAGTTAAACCAAGCACTAATTCAGAACTCAATTACATTTTTATTTAAAGATGAGAATAGAATCGAAAGTACAAGCCCTCAAAGGGATATAATTGATCTCTTTTTTGCATGTTTAGGGCTTGATGCTTGAAAAAATTGTACCTTACCAGATTAGATATATAAGGCTTGTTTGGGCCGCATCTTTCATTGGTCTCACATCTTTTCAACCACACATTTCAAAAATTTTCATCACAATTCACTAAAAATCTAATTTTAATCCTCACCAAACACCGTCATAGTGTCAATCCAAGACAAATTACCATCCCCACCCCCAAAAAGTTAAATTTGGTTGGAATTTGAGTTTATCAAATTATGACGTAGATGCACCATCAAAGCCAAGGGCAGCATGCCCAGTGTTTGGCATGGTTTGGACCAATAGGCTAGCCCACATAGGATTTTTTAACTATTTCTATTTTTATAGAATTTAAATAAAATTTGGAAAAAAAAAATTCTTGAGCCAAGTCCCAGCGAGAGTCGAGGCTCTTTTTTAAGTCAAGTGGCCATATTTTACGGGTCATAGACCGTGCAAAGCTTATATGCTGACTTCTATCCACCCGATTTACTATTTTTCACGATCTCTATGTAAATACAATTTCAACCTTAGAAATTATTCTTGGTGTACAATCATGGTTGACAATCTCGTAAACAACATCTCATATGTAAAATTATAATTGGACAATTTGAACGGAAAAAAAAACTTGTTTTTGCAATCAATTGTTTTTTGACAACTCATATATTGTCATTCATAATTGTATAAATAGATTAATCCATCTTATTGCAACCTTGAATAGCAATGGGGACAGGTGGGCAGGGCATAGGATGACCCCCCGACCCCCACCTCATCTCCTATCCCATTGGGAATTTTTGGTACATGGGGACATTAAAACGTTCTCATTTTCTCACTTCTATTCCCCGTATAATTATTTTTTATCTTTTTAAAAACATAAAATGAAAAATAAAAGTGGGAGTAGGAACCATGTTTCCCATTCTGGCCCCAATTCCATAAGGAATCCCCTTCCCGAATGTGGCGGAGCACCATGGGGTGAGAGAGGATCGGAACAATATTACCATCTCTAACCAAGAATAGGCAAGAGAACCAACTATATAATTTACTAGGCATCGATCCGAGCTTATTTATGCATTGCGCTTGTCGTAGACAAGATTTAAATTACAAATAAATTAGTGCCACAATCAATGTTTGACGCCATTTAGTGTTCTATGTGACAATTTGACCCTCTTACAAGGTAGTGCTAAAATGGTTAGTTTAACCCATTTAGAATAATTTGTTTTCCCATTTCATCCTTCGTTTGATGGATTATCCTCTCCTTCGCAGGTTGGACACTACCGTGAACCGATTAAAATTATATCGAACCGAGCGGCTCAATTTAATTTCAATTAAAATTTAACTGATTTGGGTCTTGATATTGCACAAAAAAATTTCGTATTTCGTTCTTATTCTAAATTAAAATACCTAAAAAAATTAAATAGAAATACCACCACGCCGGTCAAAAAGTGTGGGTCACATCAAGCTCATAGTCCACTCAATGCAGGGGCGGAGGGGAGGGGGCCAGGACCCCCACAATGTTTTGAAAAAAAAAAAATTTTATGTTTTTTTTTAATTTTTTGGCCTCAA